GAAAATATAATATTTGAACATACCTGCTTCAAGAATGTGAATCAAGAAAAAAAATTTGAGTTAATCCTTGCTAAGACCAGAACACTGTCCGAAATCAAGGGACTGGATTCGATGTTTCCTAGAGTTTAGATTTGTGAATGGAGGCGACAATGTGAAACGGAGATGGGAGCATGATGTGAGAGAAACAAAAAAGAAATAGACATATGCACATGGGAGGAGAGAGACTTTTCTACAGCAATCTCTCCTTCCTTCCTCGGTGCATTTCCGGTGATCATCTTTTCCTTACTTTGAGGCCAGTTTTCTTCGTTTTTTCCTACCTCAAAACCTTTTCTTTTTTCTCTCCAGTGGATTTCTGGATTCCTTGTAATGGCCATCGATCTTGAAGCGCTTCGTGTTAACTGCTAGATCCCCGACAATGTTTACATTAAACACTACCCCAATGACGCAAAGTTCAAGGTTGGGGAGGGTTTTAACCCCGGTTAGATGATCTTCTCTTCCCCTCAGTTAGGGGTTTTTTGGGTTTCCTCTACATCCCCTGCATCATTTAGTGCTTAATACGCTCAACCTTGCCATGCTACAAGTCAACCAGAACTTCTTTGGGATAATTTCCATGCTTCTCATTCTAAATCAGAGGTAGAGTCTCGACCTTAGTATCATTGATTTGCTTTTCTGTTATAAGGTGTGTAGAATCCGCCTTAAAAATAATCGATACCACTTTTTTCCTATCTCAGGTCGTGCAATCTGAGCCGATAACCCCAACTATTGAAAAGAATGAAAAGACGATCACATAATGGTCTGGGGGAATTGGAAGACCAAAGTATCCGAGTCTGCCCTGATCCCCTCCTCGTTCAGGGAGTGCACTCTCTGAACATTCACCCCCTTAGGAAGCATAAATATGTGTGTAGCACGCGCGTGCGTGAAACTTGTCTCGTCCGCTTCTATAGATTTATTTGTCATTTTGTTGGTGTCCCCACAGATCTCTTGGACTACTCCATTGCGAAGGGAAGGCTCCTCTACCTGTGCCAGAAAGTGTGGAGCAACGTCTTACCCCCGAAGAAAGTGTCTGTCGAAGCCGCTAGGATGTCTGATACTAACATTCGGCAGAAGAGCCGCCGGATAGGGGAATGTGAACCAGACTCTACAACCCAAGAAAAGTCTTTGGGGAAAAGAATAGAAGACGGCAAATCTGGAGGTTCCAATCAGAGCGCACCAGCACCCAAGCGTTCAACCGTTCATCAACCTTCTTCTGCCGTTCAGGTTCAGGCTTCTCGATCGGCCCAAGCAGTTGCCTCTGGTTCCATTGCAGGGGATACTTCTCGTTCGAGCAAGCCATGGGCTCCCAAATTCCTAAAGGTTGATGGGTCCTTCGTGACAGCTGAGGACACCATGTGTTTGCTTTCAAGGCATGACCTGTTTGCTAGGGTGTCTATCTGTGCAATGGAGGTGAGAACTCCCCAATTCGTTATAATTCTTTACTTTCAGTTTATGTGTATTCTCTCATCCACCTGTTGTACTTAGATTCCACTTCTATCCTTGCAGACCATGTTCGGGATAGCTTCTCTATGTCACACCATTGAGGCTGGTGATCGTAAGGTAGCGAGCTTGCACTCTCAGAAGAACAAGTTGGTTCTTGAGGCCAACAAGGTGGTTGTTCGACACCAGGAACTTGAATAGAAATGTACTGAGTTGTCTAGCGCCTGGGCAGTGGAGAAGGCAGCCAGGATGGCCGCAGAAAAGAAAGTTGGCCCATCTGTGTGTGCTGTCACTGCTTACACATGGCACGATATGATTGGTGACACATCCTGCCCAGATGTCGTGTTTTTATTGGGGGATATTTTCGCCCCTTCACCTACCGTCTAGGCCATGATGTCATATGATACTCAAAGAATATTTCAAATAGCTACTGTACAAAATGCAAATTTAAGCTTGGTCATGGCCGTTAAACTCTTAGCCTTCTTAACTGACTGATATGCTACCTTTTTTCACTGGTTTGTGACCTTAAAACAGTTTGGTACACAAGTTCCTCCCTTGAACAATTTAAGGTCTTTTATAAAAATCACATGTAGGTGTAAGAACTATGTACAATCAATAAAGTCCACTCACATCTTTGATTGAGCAGAAAATATTTATCTACGTATAATATTTTTTCTTCAATGAATTCTTTATCACCTTTCATGCGTATAAAACTTCCTCCATCCGAAATAAGGCCAGGTATCGAAATGGTATATCTAAAATAACATCATGAAACATATTGAAACATTTTTTTGACATGAATCCCTTGTGAGACCATTTTTTGAGATTTCCAATAGATAGAAAGTTGCACCTATTACTTTATAAGAAAATGTAGTGCTACCAACATGAAACATTTTGAAATTAAAATAGTTGCAACACCTATATATATACAAACTACTAAGCATTCCAGGAAAAACAACAGAAAATTAAAACTGATACGTAATCAAAAATTTACTTCTATTGCATGAAAAACTAATTTCTTTGGACTTCTACTGAGAATTAATGTTTAAGGCTGCAAAAATAACAAAAAAGTTGAATGAAGTTGTGCATGGCCTATGAATTAACATATATGAGGTTTCACGAGGATATATCACATTTGAATTAAACAACTCTTGCATAAACAAAGAAAGTTGAAAAACCGAGAATAAATCCTCAAACAAATGAAAACAACTGGTTTTGTGGAAAAGAAATTCATGTTGCTAAGAGTTTTTGTTAAATAGAATAATTTGAAATGTGTTAAATTAAAAATGAAGAGATAGAAGATAAGAGACAAGGCTTAAAAAGTTAAATATAATAGGAGACATGCCTTGTAATAGAAAGAACGGAAAAACAAAATTCATATATAGTAACAGCAAGTGATGCAATTCTAGTAACTGAATTAAAGAATCATGCATACATTACTAGCATTTCCTTCAACTTATAATCAAAAGCATTGACTTAAAATGTGATGACCATGTCATCTTTTTCTTTTTTCTCCCTAGTTTATTTTATTTTTAATTTTATTTCCTTGTTGTCTTAGGGTTGTGTGGACCCAAGGTAGGGTCAAGTGTTCGGAAATGGCTTCCGACACTTGATGCATTTCATTCTAGTGCATTCTATCCTCAAGACATGATTTAATTGTGTAGCACTTACATGCTTCTTAAGTTGTATTTTGTGGGGTTATTAGTGCTATTTCTTTTTTGGGGTCCTTTGTGCAATTATCTTTAGAAGATATTTTATTTTGGGGCATTAGTGCGATTAACTTTTAGAGATATTTCTTGGAGAGACTTTTATGCAATTAGGGAAAGTTAGGACATGTGCCATTTGATGATTAGGACAAATGTTGGAGTTTGAGTGGAGACATGTGGGGGACCAAGATTGAGACAAGTGGAGGGCTTATATACTATTTGAGAGGTAGTTCTAGGGTTAGTTTTTATGTTATATATCATATTTTGTACACTTTTCTCTAATCTTCTTCTTCCTCTTACCGGCTACCCAACCCGACCCCACAGTGCAAGTAGTATTTTAAGTCAGGAACTTGCAGAGTTGGAGGAAAATCGAACCCACACCCAAGTGCTAAATACGGGCGTCTAGCACTTAGAGACTCCCACTACCACCATTGTTGCTCCACCTCAAACCATATTCCTCCACCACCTCTCATCTTTTGACAACATCATAGAAGGGAAAAAGCTTGGTGGTTCCTTTGGCAACATAACCCTTATCTTGGATTTGCATTTGCACCATCTTGTTCTTGGATTTCTAGGAGGCTTTCTCTAGTGAGGTAGGGGGTGTAGTATAATTGTAACCTAGGATTTTCGTTGTGGTTTGGAGAGTTTCATGAGCTTTACTTGTGTTGTGTGAGTTATAGAGAGATTTAATTGTTTTTAGTTCTTAACCTAAGTTTGCTTGACATTTCTATGTTATATAGCTTTTAACTTCATTGTTCAAGTAATGAAGTAATATGTCTTATTCTAGTATCCTTGTAAATTATAAATTGTGGTATCTATATTATCTTCATACTTGAAGTTGATTTACCTTGTGTTAAGACTTACTTAAGTTGTGTATGTATTATCTCTTAACCCAATGATCCTATATCCATGTTTATGTGCCTTGAATTGTTAGAATGTTAGCAACATTTAATGCTAGCATGATATTAGATTTGAATTGAATATCTAAATGTTAGTATACTTAGTTTTTTGCCTATGTTCATGTCATGGTCTTAGTATTCATGCTTAGATGACCTTGTTGACATCCTACCATGGTCTATGACCATTTTACCCTTGACATATGTACTTTGATCTATTTGTCTTCACTTCCACATTCCTGTTTACTTGGATTATTTGTTCTTAGTTCCGCATTGTACCGTGTTAGAGTCTCGTGACTCTTCTTGATGTCCTATTCTTGCCTTAGAGACGGATTTCATCTCTAGTGTCTTCTTTCCTTGTTTAGCTTCCGCATTTCTTAATCCGGTTTCAAGTCAAGTTTTCGGATCACTTTGGTTGATGAACCAAATCACGGGATTTGGGGCATCACATAAAAGCAAATACTTCGTTCTAGTTAGGACATAAGTAGAATATCCCCACCAAAATATACCAAGAAAATCTCAAAATCAACACTATACCAAATAAACAGGTCTGGTCTTGTTTTCTGAACTAACCTCACAGCCACATCTTATACCGGCTTATATCATATAGACCTCTCAAGTATTTCCCATGAGATGACGGATAAATTTAGTAAGTATTTGAAATATATATATAATTTATATTTAACACTTCAAATTCAGCTCTTGAAATTTTCAATACTTATATTTTAACGTTTATCAAACAACACTTAGGTAGAATCACAAGTTTGTTTAAACATAAAAAATAATAATAATAATGATAAATAAATAAAATAAAAAATAAAATTGATAAGTAAACAATTTTGTTTATACATAAATATGAGTGCTATTTCAGTTTTTCTACAAATCCTTTAACACAATTATATTTTAAATGGACTTGAATACTCACCGGAGATGCCATTTTAATTAGGCCATCATTAATTTTTTTTATATTCTCGTTCCCTTTCTCTTGCAAGGCTTTGTGCTCCCGAAGCACAAATATCTGGGTCTTCCATAGAACATCAGTGATCCTATTAGAGGAGACCTACAAGAAAGGCATGATAATACAAATCACAATTGTAGTCCAACTACTTTATTCTGTCACTAGAGTGGACATAATTAAATTCATATACCCTGTAGTAACTAAATTTGTGTGTCTGTGTGAGTGATTGAGAAGGAGAGCAAGAGGGAGAGAGAGATAAACCTGGTATCCAAAGGCCAATAACATTACGATCACATTGGTCAAAGCAATACTGACTGTGAAAGGGTATTTCTTAAATTCAGCAAAAAAAATTGCTTTTAGATTTGCAATGCGGGTGAGGGGTGGTGGCAGGGTTGTGGATGGAGGGGGAGGTGGTGGGGGTGGGGGTGGGGGTGGTGGTGGTGGTGGTGGTGGGATGGAGGGGGTTGGGGTGGGGGTGGGGGTGGGGGTGGGGGTTTGGGAGTTGGAGTGGGAGTGGGAGTGGGAGTGGGAGTGATGGTGGAGGGGTTGGGGGTGGCGGTGGAGGGGTTGGGTTTGGGATGTCTCAAGGAAAAGGGGTTCAAAATTCTACTGATGTGAGCATTGGTGCTAGGAGGTGGAGGGAGGGGGAAATGGGTTGTGTTTCCCATAGTTGGACGAAGTACTGATCTGTTTAGGAGGAGGGTGGCCTTCCGGCGACAAAGGACGCCGATGCGAAGCATAAGAACCATTGAGAAGGGTGGAGAAGGGTTCTCTCTTGGAGATAATTGGTTAGTAATATATTTGGGGTCTCGGTTATAATAGTGGCAACACAGTTTACAATGTATGGAGCTTTTTGATCCTCAAAGTTAAACAAGTCATTTAATAAAAAATAATGCCACTAAACTTTTTTGTTTTTTTCTTCTCATGCGACTAAACTGATGTTCACTCTCTCTCTCTCTCTCTCTCTCTAATATTTTTTCTTTCTATTAATTTTTTTTATTTTATACATGTGTATATAAATTTATATATTCTCTTGTGCACTATCTCATATTCTTTTCTTTCTATTAATATTTCCACCCACAGTGCCACTATTATAACCGTGCCACTATTAAAAGTTTATATTCTTTTCTTTTGGAGAAGGGAATTTTTCCACCACTCATAGTGAGCAATCAGATAGAAACATGCATGTCAGGCCAGAGAAAAAAACCCATAATGTGTCCCATGGACCAAAATATATCCAACACCGAATTGGCCCGAAGAGCAAGATCCAGCCCAGCAAGTCCAACCCAAAATTACAACCAAGCACAATCGAAAATAACGCTCATCAATAAATTACTAATAATTATGGAAATATTAATATTATATATGTAACGGCCTATGACAGCCCCAAGAAATTCTCATTGTACGAGTATAAACACAAGGGCAAGGACCCAATAAAAGGCATCTGATTCCCAATGCCATTAGCCCTTATTTTTCCTTGATTGAGTATTTTAGTGTTTAATCCTTCGGGTCAAATCATCATATTCAAGCCGAAATTTTATACACCTACACTTTAGCACCATCTGTGGGAAGGTACTGAAAGTCTCTCACCATCATTGTTGAGTTCTTTGATACATGTAACACCGTTGTAATAGGATCAGACGCTGTTCAAATGCAGCAGCTATAAATCATACAAAAAATGCACGAAGAGATACAAGAACAATTCAATACTATGCGCTAAGCGAATGAGGCCAGCGCCCAACAGATCAATACCTTAAGGCAAGCCAGTGAGGCAAGTGTCGCTCAAATCAATGCCTTACGATAGGAAAACGAGGAGCTTAGGGCATCCCCTGCCAGCTACTAATCGGCAGATTCCCCAGGATCAACAACCCGAGTAACGGGACGAACAGCTGAGCCTGCCATCAGTCCCAACAGTTCAAGGGGACAATAACAACCTTCAGCAGCCGAGGATTCCCCCACAAAATCTTGACGCGCTTCGAGCCATACCAGAGCAAAATGCGAATGACATGACCAATCAATCCCAAGTAGCGGCAAAATCTACATTAGGAATACTGAAACAGACACGAACGCAAGGCTTTGAAGATCACGTCGAATCCGAGAAGCGCAACACTTTAATCCCGGATGGGTATCTTCAACATTTGACTGATAACGATATCCTGGCAAATTTCAGGAGAGAAGTGGACTAACAAATCGATGGACTGAAGGCCCAAACGCCCGAAGACATGACTAGAGAATTCACCACCTCTATAATTAAAACCCACTTTACCGACGAGATAAACCAAGTTGAGAGGCCAAAAAAGTTCATCATGCTGAAATTTATTAAGTTTGACGGAACCGGAGATCCGATGAAGCACTTAGACCACTACAACCAGGAGATAACTTTAGACACACGAAACGATTTGTTCTTGTGCAAGATATTCCCATCCAGCTTAACGGGAGTTGCACTAGAATGGTCCAAAAACAGACCCCACAAGTCTATCCCAGACTTCAAGACGCTATGCACAACCTTCTTAGCACAATACTGTGGGAATAAAAAGCAGAAGAACACCATATCCATCCTGTTCACCATACGGTAAATGAAAGGAGAAAAACTTCAAGATTTCCTGACCAAATTCAACATGCCGACTGTAACCAAGCAACTGGTTGTGGAAGTATTCAAGATAGCAATGATCCAAAGAACCAGGTTCAATGACTCTTTGATAAAAAAGACCACGTCGACATGTTAGAATTAAACGCAAGAGCCCAAAACTACATAAGGCTCGAAGAGAGCGAGGCCAACAGGCAACATAGGGCGACACTGGTCATAGTGGAAAGTCGAACTAAAGAGCGGGTGAGCATCCCAAAGGCACAATAGGAACCGCCAAGCTTCGAAAACAGAGCCATAAAGAAAAGGTCATGGGTGGCTGAGAAGGTAACCCCACTCGAAACCACTTTAGCAAGATTGTACAAGGAAAACAAAGGCAGAAAGATTTTCTAAATCCCTCTTCCCATCAGGCAACCAATGGATCAAAGGGATCAGGATAAGCACTGTGCTTTTCACAACGATTTCGATCATTTAACTAATAATTGCGGGAGCTTGAGAAGGCAAGTGGAAACCCTACTGGCAAAAGGAGAGCTCACCGGGTACTTTCTCAAACCGGTTAATTCTAAGTAACCTGATGTAGAACAGCTCGCTCACGATTATTTGAGCATACAGGATCATCGCAAATCAGGGAGGTTAAAAAGGTAAGGAGAATAGAAGGAAATAAATAAATAAGGAAAAGTCAAAAGAATCATCGCAAATCAGGAAGGCTGAAAGGGTAAGGAGAATAGAAGGAAATAAACAAATAAATAAGGAAAAGTCAAAAGGAGATTTCATGTAGTTGCCAGCAATAGAAGATATTATTCTCCATTGCAAGATTTAAGGAGGATTCTACTCCATCAAATCTAAAATTTCCCCTTTAATATTATTTCACGCATGTTTTCTTTTTCTTTTCTTTTTTTTGACTTGCCTCTGTAAAGGCAAGAGATGTAAGTCTACAAACATCATCATTATCAATATAATTTCAATTTCTCTCTTGTGAGTGTGTTCTTTGTGAGTTCAAGGGTTTAACCATGTTCTTTATCGTTTCCGCTACGTTAGTTGGTATCAAAGCAAGGTTCAGAATCCAAGATTCGCCTTTGTTTTCGATGGCCGGTTCACGGGATGGAAGCAACGCCTCCAGCGACAGTGATCGTGATGGAGTAGCTCTTTTGAAGGCTGAGTTTACTATGTTCCAGACCAACGTTAATCGAACCTTGCTTGATATACATGAAACTATGCGTCAAGTATTGGCGAGATATACAACGGTAGAACTTAACCGCGAGAACAACATGCTGTCCAACAACGGTGATTATGGACGTCCTGCTAGTAATCACAACCCAAACCCACCGAATAGGCAACCAGCCTATGAGGAAAATGTCGGTTTTGGTAACCACCGAGCCATACAGGTGTTTGGCGATAATCGAGGTCGATGGGGAATTAATGATTCCAGGGATTTTCGTAAGAAGATTGACCTACCCACCTTTCAAGGTCATCTTCGTATTGAAGAATTCTTGGACAAGATTAGTGAAGTTGAACGTTTCTTTGACTATATGAAAATCCAGGAGGAGAAGCAAGTCAAACTCGTGGCGTATAAGTTGAAAGGCGGCGCGTCAGCATGGTGAGATCAAGTGCAAACTACCCGTGCACGTGAGGGTAAGGATCCAGTACATACGTGGGTTAAGATGAAGAAGTTGATGAAAACTCGATTTTTACCCCCTGATTACGAACAGGTTCTTTATCAAAAATATCAGTCTTGCACACAGGGAAGTAGAACGATTGCTGAATATGCTGAAGAATTTTATCGGTTGTCATCCTGTAACAAACAGGTGGAACCCGAATTTAGCATGGTGGCCCGTTTTAAAGGCAGGTTACGATGGGATATTGAAGAGAAAGTGGCGCTCCAACCGTTATTCAAACTGTCTGAGATTGTCACGGTGGCAGAGAGAGCAGAATCGTTACTAGAGAAGTCAAAGAATCGATCTTATGGTTCATATAACACCCAACGTCCTTCACATGACATGGGTAAACAGACCATGATAGCCCCTGTTCCAATGACATGGCGAGGCATTGGAGATGGTCCAACAAAGGCCAAACCCGCAGCACCAATAGGCCCTGCTAGAAGGGGAGCCCTAACTATGAGAGAAAATCCCTATGCACACCCAAGTATGGGCAAGTGTTTTTGATGTGGAGAACCTGACCATAAATCCAACAATTACCCCAAGCGACCAACAGTAAATCTGGTCGAGCATGAGAAAGGCGAGGGTGAGAAAGGTGAGTTCCTTACCTTTGAAAAAGAAAAGGTGATTGAAGGAGACAATGGCGAGTTGCTATCCCACTCTTTAGTCGTGAGGAGGTTGATGTTCACACCAAAGAAAGAGGAGCACCCACATCATCATAATGTGTTCCGTACAAGTTGCACTGTCAACCATAAGGTATGTGATGTTATTATTGATAGCGATAGTAATGAGAACATTGTTTCCTTAACAACGGTTCGAAAATTGGGGCTTAAAACAGATAAACATCTCCATCCATACAAAAT